ACCTCTCATGTTTAATCTGCTACTTTTTCTGCATTAGTGCAGAAAACACGAGTGATTATATACAGTAGTTTCTGAAGAAAATTGTATAAACTCTGCTTTAGGCAAAAATATTTATCTCTTAATAAACTTAAGTTATTTAATTAGACCTTCTAGATAACACTACATGTGTACATCCCAAGAAAATACCATTGAACCTTAGATTCAGAGCAAACCTTTAATGACAGATCTTTGCATTGTTGCAGGACACAGGACTTGCATAGTGTAATATATGTACTGTGGTATTGTATTTAAATGTTAGTTTCACATAGGAATTAGCTAAATGGACTTGTTTTGAGGTTTTGCAATGTTAAACAGGGATATGTTAAAATCCAGAATGAAGACTCAATTAATGTGTTGAAAAATGAAAAAAAGATGTTAAGGGAAAATAATCTGATACTGTTTAGAGGGGTCCCACAGGGATCTGGACTGGTTTCCTTCATATTTAAAACACTCATCTTGATTTTGACTTCCTAAATGTGCTAAAGTTGATATGAGATCATATATTGATTTGAAAATGAGAATCTCCAATACATAGTTGAATAAAAAAAATCTGAAAAGACTAAGTGTCTTATTCAACATTTAGGAGTGTTCAGACACCTGTCAAATTAAGTTGAATGCAGACAGCTGTACAGCAGTTCTATATACTGTACATGTTGTAAAAAAGGTCTGTACCAGATCCACATCAGGTCACTGGGCCAGGGCTCATCTGGGTTTCTGCAGCATTTAGGAGATGGGAAACCCATCCGTCAATGGAAGGCCAGTCTGCTTGGGGGATTACCCAATACTTTTCCACACTTACAGTATGGAGTTGGATGGACTGGAGCAAGTGGGGTACATTACCTCGTTCAATCATACAACAGCAGGAGTCTGCAGCAGGGATTTGAACGAACAACAGTTAGTATGGAATGACAAAATAAAAGAAGTGGATGTCTTTTCCTTTCTCATGAGAAAATAACATGGATCATTTATACTAATCTTTAAAGTCCTGAGAAGAGTCAGGGATGCCAGTGCTAATGAAGAGGAAATACAAGACATTTTAGATTGAAAATAGGATTAAGTTCTTTTCACAGAGGTTTGGTTCTGAAACAAACCATCCAGCTCTGCTGTTGAAGCTGATTTCTTGGAACCATTCAAGAAATGGCAAAGTGAGATTGTCAGACCATTATGTTACCAATAATCAAGCAAGCAGGATGGGATATGATATATTCTCAAACTTCTATTTACAATTTAACAACCTCTCAAACTGCATTTAGCTTTTTCTACAAAAGAAAAATTACATGCAATGAATTATTATTCGATTCAGCTGAAAAAGATCTAATTCAATGTAATGTTTAATCTAATTTTTCATAAATTGCAAATACCACTGTATTATACTGTATATTTTATTTCATTTTCTTAACTGCTGAAAAAAGAAATAAACCCTGATGAATTACAAAAATATAATTCTATGATGGAGGAAGCATTCCTCAGACAGTGCAAACATATCTGTTATTTGTTGTTGGTACATCTTGGTTTCCATAACCGTCTAATGGTGGGTGTAAATACAAGTCACAAAGTCAGTATCAGTATCAGTATTGGTGACATTTGCATTGATAACTATATAAGTATTCTGCTAGAGGCTATCACATTGGTGCATTTTCAATGTTGCATCTGCTCTCCCTGATTTATGTGTTGTGCTTGCGTCATTACACTTGAATATCCTGAACGTGCTCTATCACTGACTTTATGATTGGCATTGTAATGTCTCAGAAGTATACTAATGGTGTTCCAGTGACATCTGAAAATGTTTGAAACAGCTTTCCAGGACATTCCAGCTTGATGCATTGCCAATTCTTGATTCCACTCATCATTGAATGTGTATGGGGTACACTTTCATCTGTGTACAATGTTTCTTGTAAAGCACAGTAACTCTGCTTGTTCCAATAAATACATTGGGTGTGCAGTTTGCACATGCAGTTTATGATGTGTCACTCTTGAAAACTTTCTGTCATGTTGTTATGTGTCATGTAGGCATCACCAAATAAACTAGGTAATGTGTTAAATGATTTGCTTTATTTTTCATGTTTCCTATCAGGGATAGTTTAAACAGTGTAATGGCAGTTGAAAAGACATTATTTTTCTGCAGTTATATCCTTTGTTCCTTTGGACAAGAATGGCTTGTATGTCTAATTTGTTTGGAGTTTTTTTCTTTAGCATAGCCTGGGAAGAAGATGTGATGTAATTTACAGACTTTCTTGTGCAAAGTCTTTGAGAGAGGAAGTATATTGTGTTGAAACACCAGACATCATTTTTGGTCAAGGAATGAAAATCCCTTGAAGAAAACAAAATTTAAAGTAGTATGATAATTACATATTACCCCCAGAAACCTGGAAAGAAATTTATTATAAAAAAGGTTTTCCTGTGGGTGATCCTGAATCACAGCCTCAAAATTTTTGTTGTGATTAGCACAGTTCTGTCATTGATTATTCTACTGTACTTTCGTTAAAGTCGAAGTTGTTTCAAGCAATTATATTCAAATACACCTGCATAAAACAGCATTTAAAAATTCTGTTTTCAAGTGACTCTCTTATAAGGCTGTTAATTACTCAGGAGCATGACTGATTCCCCAACAGTTCCTTTCCTGTGGAATTCCATTCAAATATCAAATTGCCTCACACCTAAAACCCATTTGTGCCATTTGTTTTCATTTACTTTCAGCAGTCATCCTGGCCACAGTATTGTCTGGTTTGAGCCAAGATGGTGTCTTTCATCTTCTGTCTGGAATTTATAGAAAGAATTCTATGTATATAAAATATGAATTATGTGCCACTAAACCAATAATTGATGACATTATTCTGACTTAATTGTCATCTAATTTACATAAGTAAAAAATATATCAATTTCATTTATTTTCTTTTAAAGAGAACGTGATCTTTTGAGTCATCGGTCCATCTAATTTTGTGGGTACCTTGCTCCTTTTAGCGTTTAACATTCAAATGTCCATGTCAAAATACAAAGTAGCATTTAAGGTATTAAAAATAAAATAGTAACATAAGAGATTCTCTGCAAATTTGAATTTGAATGGAAAATCTCTTTTAATATGCTAAAACAAATGTGCCTTCAGTTGTAAAATGGTATCTCATTTGTATTTCGATGCTGTTATGAAGTGACATTGCATTAGGGATTTGATTACTATTACTTCCCTTTGATCTTTGTGATTACAGCCATGTTTCTTATTTTAAATCTGTTGTACCCTGCCACTTATTTCACACTGTTCTTAATTTAAAGATTGAATGCATTAGTGATTGGCACTTATGTTGTGTGCAGTGAGCAGCAAGTGACAGCTGGATTCCTATATTTAAATGTACTGTATTAACAAATACATATAACAGTGCAAACACATTTCATCTTCTTTGAGTTATCCCTTTGAATTGAATAGTAATATCCAAGGGAAAGCCTGCTTAAAATGAGTACAATGCAAACATAATACCAGTCCTTCCTTTACAATTTACGCATGCAGTACACATAATTTAAATTAAAATGAAGCAATTAATCTAAAAATGCAATTGGTTAGAGATGCCTCACTTCATCATAACAAGTATATATAAAAATGCACGTTTAATTAAATTTAATATATTTAAAATATAATAAATACCTGCAGTCTAGATAAAATACTATCTATATTTGTAAGAGTTTTGAGACTAAAAAAGAAATGAATGTATACTCTTGTAAACTAATGCTAGTTTAAAGAGGTTTACAAATATCCCTCCTTTTAAACATGTTTAATATGGTTTGTTGATCTTTTGAATTAAATGTTTAGATTTGGATTTTGACTAAGAAAATTATTATATACAATATATCACTCTTTCTTCTAAAAATAGAATGAGAAGCTGTCTTTAACGTGTTAGGTATAATTCCAATAATTAGGAAAAAAATGAATTTTAAGACTAGTTTTACTATAAATATGTTTATTCACATCTATTTAACAAAAGGAACACAAATGTAACTTTTCTCACTAATATATTCTCACATATTTTATCATGTGCTTGTGAAAACAGAAGCACTGCCATTGAAGTGGTAATCTCAAGCAAAGGACTAAGATAATATCAAAGGTTAATGACGTTTGCCGTCTGCTATTTGCAGGATGATAGAACCTTATCTTTGTCAGCTTTCATCAAATTGTGCCCTGTGGGCCTTTTCTAACCAAGACTTATATTTTTCTATATGCTGGCTTCTTCATTCACTGTTGTGTACAGTATAACAAAGTACATTTATGGTTAAGATGACACCAGTTTGTTATAAAGGAGCTATAGTACCTGAGGTAAAGCTTTTTGTTTTGTAGGATCAATCCTGCTGTATTTTTTTTTTAATCTCAGTGGGTAAAAAAAAAGTGTTACATTCACATGACATTGAAAAGGGCTTCAGAATGCTGACAGTATGAACTTGTGAAGTACCATACTGTATATTAAGAGGTGCCTTATTTAAGCTAAATAGAAAACAACAAAAATTATAGTATCCTAAACTTATATCCTACCAAAGACGTTTAAGTACAATCTGCCATTACAAAAACAACAACATAGTAGTGTTATTGCAATATGCATAGTCAAAAGAGTTAAGAGTGGGGAAGGAGCTATACCAGTGTGAAAACTGCAGAGGGTAATTCCAGTGAAAAATAAAATGGAAGAAAAAAAGCTCCTTCTTCTGATGCGTCTACGGCCAAAACATTGTGTTTTTGCTTTATTTTCTTTGCTTTTCATCATTTAATTAATTTATATGTGTTCTATGTGTTCCGTTACACTTAAGAAAAACCAATTTCAGTGTTATATAGTTGTATTTTCCTCATTTCAGACACTGGTGAGGCAAATAATGAAATCAGTTTAATGGTATCCAGTGCTGAAACTACTAGAGGGAGTGCTGCTGTGAGTTATGGTGGTTTATGGTGGTTTATCATATTAAAAACATTTTTTTTTCACTTGCTACAGGTTCTCCTTACCGGGATAAGATCACCATTGCAATTCTGCAGTTGCAGGAGGAAGGGAAGCTGCACATGATGAAGGAGAAGTGGTGGAGAGGAAATGGCTGTCCAGAAGAAGAGAGTAAGGAAGCCAGTGCTCTGGGAGTGCAAAACATTGGAGGGATCTTTATCGTGCTTGCTGCAGGCCTCGTTCTCTCAGTGTTTGTGGCAGTGGGAGAATTCTTGTATAAATCCAAACAAAATGCACAACTTGAAAAGGTAAAACAACATTTTTTAATTTCTGGACTGCATTAAAGTAGGAGATCCATCGTTTATGTGCACATGCGTTTTATAAGTAATGGGTGGCACAAATAGTTGATTAAAAAAGCACAAAGATAAAGCTAGCACATTCAAAACATTCCAATTTCTTTAATTTGTGCAAAATATTATGTGCCCCTCAGATAGGAAACATTGTGCCAAATGCCTTAAAATGTGTTGAATTTTCAGTTTAAAATTCTAATATGAGAATTTAGCTATATTACCAATTAGTGGCTTTTCATTTTTGCTTAGCATACTCCTCATGGATTGAGCAAGAAACGACAAAAAAATGCTTATAGCCTATTTGATGAAATATAGTTAGAATTTATGCTTTATGTTATATGGTGAAGTGGTAATCTGTCATTGTCTTTGTAATTTGTGTATTATCATGACAAAAAATACACTTAAGGCTGCTTAAATTGAGTGCTGTGCTAAGTTTGTCTTGGATGATTAGATCCTAAAGATGATACAATATTCTATTTTTTATTCTTTGGTGAAAAAAGAAGAAATTTAACACAGCATTTTATTATTCTGAAAACAGTATTCACTATATTATATATATATAGGTAAACCTAGTTAAACTTTGCATGTCAATTCTAGAGACACACTAAACATTTTTCCTAAAAAAGTCAGCATCACAACTTTGCAACACAAACCTTTTTTGTGAGGAGGGTGATTAATCATGACGCCTGCTACAATTTCAGTGTTTTAAGGCAGGGCCAGTCAGTTTTACTTTTTAAACCTTATTTCATTTTTCATAAACATAGTAGTGTAACCTAGCAATACTTCTTCATAATCATATGTAAATCCACATTGCACAGAACAAAACTCACTCATTAATCACAAATTCCCAAACTTTCCCTTTAGTAAATACTAAGAGTTTTAGCAGAACAGAAACTTGTCATCAAATGACACATTTGGAATTTGTTATTGATGGGTAGGCTGAGGTTGTAATTTAAACTGAGCCCTGTTCATTTTAAATTTAGTCACAGTGCCTATTAATTAGCACCTTTATGTTTATGTTGGCTTGTCACAAACCCTGAAAGTGGACATGATTACCAGAGGCATCGTTTTAGCAGTTGTCAGTTTTTTCAATACATTTCAATCAATGTTGTTTCATGTAAAGTAAAAGGCTATGCAGATCTTAAACACCATATCCTGACAATACTATTTTGGTAAATTATGGGTTGGCAATAATTAACTACAGCAATGAAAATAGTTTTGTAAGATATCAAAGTTGAACAGTTACCTTTAAGCAATTGCTTGGAAAATCACTGCAAACAGCTATGAATGTTAAACCCAACTCAAGGAAATACTTTAGAAATACTTCTTTTCATTCCTCATATCTGACATTTTAAAAATATTGTAAGCTTTTGTCAACGTGTTTTTCATATTTTCCATTTATACCTGATGCATGGACAGTATCAGAGATCATATACTGTAGAACCTGTGAGTTATTCTTTTTCCTCTAAGGGTATCTGGTTTAAAAATACATTTTCTACTACCATTATTGACTTTAAATTCAATAAAGGAGGTTGTACAATAGGCCATTATTGATGCATCACATATATTTCTTGTGAAGTAGTGTTCCAAGGAAAGTCCCTGTTGTTGGTTTCAATGAAACATACATTGACTTGAATATTGAGGTTGATTCTAATGATAACTAGATCTCAAGCATAAACAATGTGCGGAATATATGAAAGTGAAAAAGATATTACTGAAAAGAAGAATTTTCCGTTTTAAGTAAACATTTTTAAATCGCACTTTATAAAACACCTTCTGAACAGCATTTAATGGTAAGAGATTATGTTCCTTTTCTGCACTAAATGGCTGGCGGAAATTTCTATATAAAGCATGTTATACATCATACTTTTACAAGTGTTGTAAAAGTATGCTTGTGTATCTTTTTAATTTTCCAGAAAGGCCCTAAAAGAAAAGAGGCTATTTTCACACTGTGTTGGTCAAAGTACCAACTTGAGAATTACTGTGGTATTAAGCAGTCCTTTGTTGTCTTTGTCATGCTTAGTAGTAAATACCCTGCAATTTGCATTTTATAATGACTTTTATTTTGTGTTTATTTTAAAAGACACTTTCTTATATAATGTGATGAGCAATAAACCTCAAAATGCAAGCAATGTTTATTTACTAATTCAAAAGGACTTGTTTTATGATGGAAAACTGTATTTAATGTAGTCTTCATTTTTTGCTCATTTTGTAATGCAAGTAATCTTCATTTGACTGCAAAGTCAAATGGCTTGTTAAAACTTTTAATAAAAGATAAAGAAAACTTCAATGCATTTGATCCTAGAAGTGTTGTATCATTTAGTATCTGTCGTGCTGGTAGAAATACTGTAGAATCCTTAAGGTTTTCTGACATTTTCACACATTTCATGGGCACATGCTTGGCTTTCATTCACAAATCCTGATTACATGCTATATGGTGGCATATCCAGAAAACGATGCATCGATATGTCAATATCAGATATAAAACTTAAGGTGTACTGTAAGTACTACCCAAAATTACTAAGAAATTCAATAAGCTGCGAAGGGTTAAAACCCATTCACATTATAAGGCCCATACCAGGCCAACAGATAAAACATCTAACTGAACAGAACTTTACAAGAAAACAAAATCGGCACTGAGCAAAATATAATCAAACGCAAGTAACATAACCAAGCAGAGACAGGACATTTTATTGTATTTCCAATCAGTATACCCATGTTTTTAGAGCAGTGGTTCTCAACCAAAGGTTTGAGACTCCCTTGAGGTTCTGTGCAGCTTTCAAGAAGGGTCAACTCTAGTTTGAGCAAAGTGGAAAATCAACACTTTAACATAGTGCATATGTTCTGACAAAAGGTGAGGTGAATCTTTTGGCTGTGCTTTGCCTTTTAATATTTCAAATGAATAGTATTATTATTTATTAAAAATAAGATATTTCAATTAAGTTTTATGTTTATGTTTTAATTTGGGTCGATTTCTTAAAAAGGTGTTGCCCCTGCCAGAAGAGGTTGACAAATCCTGTATTACAGACACACATATGTGGTTTTCACTCACCTCTGAAGCAGTGGTTTAGTTATATTTCAGAGGACAATGTATCCCCACCTATTTTGGTTGAATACATTTAAGTCAAAAAGCCCTCACATGCCCCACAGCCCTTACAGACAAAAATTCCTTCCTTCTTTAAAGGTCTTCATTGAATTTATCTTATATTTTTCCATATTGCAAAGATAAGACATAGTGAAAATGACTGCAGTTAACCAACACAAAAAGGAAAACATTCAACTGTATATTATTTTTTTCTTTAATATATTATAATTAAATACTTTATGAACAAATATAAGCTGATCTAAATAATTTAACATTTTCATAACATTTTATTTAATTATAAATCTACTTTTGATGGAGTTTTATTCATTCCATATTGAGATGCCAAATCGCAAATGCTTTCCTGAAAGGATAGAAAGCCATATTAAATAAGTTTTCTTCTATTACACATAAACTATTTTACTAAGAATGTTAAGGTGTAAAACTATAATAGTTGCATTCATACATAGGAATTGTTTTGCATTCTTTAACAATGGAGATAAGGATTTCACCATCAGATACTTTAGGCATACAACTTGTATTAGATCCATGCTGTTTCACATTACAATACAATGATATTTAACTTGTATGAAATTCTAATTGTATTATAATGCCTCTGTGGTCTAGATTGAAAAATAAAACTCCAATCTACATGTAGCTTTTGGAATGTCAGGCATGGTATTTTGGAAGTTACATAAAAGACAACAATACAGGAGTACAGACTGATAATAACTAGGAAGTACTGTTGACAAATAGATCTTTATATCCTTTAGTCTTATTGTAAATAAAATGTAATGTGAATAAAACTATTGTTAAAATCTATAATAAATGGGAAACCTAGCTTTAAATTACTAAAGATATGCTTTTTGAGATTTGGAATAATCTGAGAAGACATCCATTTGGTCAAAATGTGTCTTAAGAACCACTGTTTAGAGTCACTTTTTCTCATATAAACATGAGCTATAGAGGATATGTTTTTGATTAACCATCTATAAATATTTGTTTTTAACATTGATGGTCTGCTTTTAATGAAATGCATTTACAACATGCACTATAAAAGTTAATGCCATGGTCCTCCTTCATTGCTTCAAAATAGCTTTGACTTTCATTGCTTTCACATAAGTAGCTGGCCTTCATCTCAGGGGAGGGTGGCCTTGAGCAACACCTATCCTCCTTACTGCCATTTATTCATTTCTTGTTCACATTACCTTTTTCATCTATTTTTGTCATCAAGCTTGAAGAGACAGCAGAAAGTGCTTCACGGGAGCAAGCCATGGAAAAAGGTCTACTCTCCTTTTATATTAATGAGAGCATTCTAATAAACAGTTGTTTATCATGAATTTATTTGTGAATGTGCACTTTGTCAAAGAAAACAAATTGACATCTTCATTACTGTAGAATGCTAGCAGGTTAGACCATCTGTAATTATTCATGTCATATTTTACCAGCTATCTCTGTTAGTTTTTGCCTCAGTGGTTCATCTTCAAGATGGATCACAGTTTCAAGTGCAAATTGCAATATGCTGGGTATTGCAGACAAAAACTAAAAATGTATTTCAACTAGTGGTAAAAAATGAAGCAAAATAAAAATTGGGGAGGTGGTTAAGCTGTGTGTAGTTACCATCCCCGAGCTTTGATTAGCTGTAGAAAGGCTTGAAAATCACAATTATTTGTATTCATAAATGCACTGTCCATCACCAAAAACTAAATCAAAGTTAATCCTTCCATTTATAACAAAGAAAACAAAAGGATTCTCCGTATTTGACTTTATGATGACATATTTGTTTAATATTGGACATTAACTGAAATAGGACAATTTAAATATTCTGTTTTTTCTGACTCCTAGAGTACCTTCTTGAATATTCTAGCATAAAATGTCAGTAGGCAGAATTATCTCATTTTCATTAGAGATTCACAACCCTTCATTTTTATTTGTTTGCCTATACTAGAACATCAAGCATCTGGCCATGTTGCTTAGGATGGTAACTAAAGAAGTCTTCTGAAAATGTACTGGCCCCTGTTAAAAATGAAAGCCACATGGAATATTCATTCATAATCAGCTGTGCAGTAATTCCGTAGCATAGTGTTTATCATAATTTCACTTAATTACAAATATTATCAATTCAATTCTAATGCCGAAGATGAATAACCATGAATAATTTATAAAACTATGTGTATGTGTTATTTTCACGATCAATAAGTTTTCCACCATTACTCTAAAATAAATAGTATAAAGAGCTTCTTTTTTCAGTGATATTTTATTCATTTTTTAAAATTCTCTGCATCTGAGATTGCATCTTTCCCTGGTTGACGTCTTCATAGAATGTGAGTTCTTTGCCTCTGGGTCTAAACTGTTGGATTGACAGGTTTTAGCTTTACATCAATCAAGCACCCCAGGGAAGTGGCATAAGGAGTCAAAAACTGATTAGAAAGGAAGCTCAGGGCTGGGCCTTTCAACCACTTTGACTGAACTTCAAAAAGATGAAAAGAGGTTTGATTGATTTGTCATACTAGATGGCAGGAAATTGACCCATGACATCTACTATAAGATACAGGATTACTGCCATTATGGGTTTAAGCAGTTTTTAACAAGACCTCGAGTAATGCTTACCAAACAAGGAAGCAGGTAATGAAAGTTGGCAAGGATGCCCAGTGTTATTTATAGCAAAGGAACTATGTGTCTGCTGATAAACTTTTTCTATTGGTGGAAATAAAGGGTGATATTTCACAAAATAAAACAGTATCTGCGATTTGGAAATATAAATAGATATAATATATACATTTGGTTTAAAATAACAACAATATTGAAAACTGAAATTTTTTATTCAGTGAAAATGTTGTACTTCATTGAATGTTGCCTCCATGGAAGCTTCTTCACAAATGCAAAGTGTGTGGTACCACAGCTTGCAACAGGGAGATGTGCTTTGTTTATAGATTATATCCTTTTATTCATACACTATATCAGAAAGCTTAAATTTTTAAAATTTAGTAATAAGAAATAAGAAATAATAAACCCCAAATAACCCCTTGCAGATGTAAACTAAAATAAAAAAATCATTATTGATTGTTTTAATGTTCTGAGAAATATATACCGGGGGGTAGAGATGTCTTCTTTTTAACTTTGCAAAGCTTGATTCCCAGAATACCAACCTAAATCCAGGGAGGACATTATCTTATGCAGGATTTGCAAATGCCACTTTAGCTTTTATGAAAATGAAGAAGCAGCTTAATTGGGCATGCAGATACATGGGATTTCAGTCTGTGAAAATGTAATATGCATCAATAAACAAGTCATGCTGCTTGGCAGATTTGACTTTTCAGTGACAAAGTGAAATCTGCCGTGGAAAAATCACTTTAGCTATTATGCTGCACATACAGTATTCAGAAGGCAGTGGCCCAGTGTGAGTCTGGGAACCCTATCTTGCCAAATTCCTGTTTTCTCATAGGCAATGAACCAGTTCCAGTGGGATGTTGCATTTGCTGGCAGAGAGGCACTACTTTGTTTGCAGGGATTTGTTTTCAAACCTTTCTTTTCTTCCACAGAGGTCCTTCTGTAGTGCCATGGTGGATGAGCTAAGAGTGTCTCTGAAGTGTCAGCGTCGTCTCAAACACAAGCCCCAGGCCCCTGTCGTGGTAAAAACAGAAGAAGTTATCAACATGCACACATTTAATGACAGAAGACTGCCAGGCAAGGAGACCATGGCATAACTGTTTTGGGGGGTGGGGTTGGGGATGGGAGGAGAAAGATGCCCTGAGCACAAACTGTCATCGTTGTTCAAAACAATTTGCCAGAAAATGTTTCCTGTGGAAATATGCAACCTGAGCAAAATCAAGTGAGTTACCTCATGCATCTGATAAGTAGAAGATGACTGTGTTACAAGAGTTGGAACTTATCAAAAAGGACTCCAATTCAGAATGGAAAAGGAAAAAAAAATACAGAAAAAACATTTGAGATGAACATCGGAACATGAGTAATGCCAGGTGTAGTTTGGGTTTAACTTTTCTTCTCTTGAATGTTTCAATGTGAATTGGTGACTGATGGTCTCATGGGCAAGTTCAGTGATCTTTCAACAATCAGCTTTCATCAAGTACTGTTGAGTAAACCAACAGAATATGCATTATACACAAAAAAAAAAACCCGGAAAGAAACTAGTAGAAAGACTGTGAAAGGGAATGAACATTTTTAAAAATAACTTAATATGTTGAAATATATTTTCTATAGTCTGAAATCACATATAAAGTTGGTAATAGCTCTTTACCTTGATATCACAAAACAGCCAGTCCAAATTATTCAAAAATTTGGACCTTGTCAAGAAGAAAGACATTATTACTGCGCCAATGTTTTACCTCATGCTACTTTTCCCCCTACTAAGTGTAAATTTATTTTTACTTTTTGCAATACTTTGTTTCCATTTGTTGTGTTGGTTACATTATCATTAATTTGAAATATACTGCATAAAACAATGTGATTTGCCATGTTTGTGTTGCTTAGCTGGTAATCCTCCATTAAGGAAAGGTAGACAGGCTGTTTTGCTGCCCACAGGAAGATGCTGAGTTAGACCCAAAGAACTTGTGGCCCAATTTCAGACATCAAATTTAAATAATTTGAGTCTCTGAGCTTTTGAAACCCTTTATAATTTTGCCCACATTTTGGCTTGGAGCTTGCTTATCTAAAATATCTCAGAATTAATGTAAACATGGGACTATTATTTATTTATTTATTCATTATTTATTGGTTTATTTATTTTTATTGACTACATTACTTCTGTAAACTCCTACTACATCTAAATCCTCACAATTTTTTTGTTAGTTGTTTTTATTTATTTTGAAAAAAAATATTCACATTTATTTGTGGAAATGCAAGATTTCTATGAAAATAGTTTTTGTATGAAGAAAAATTTTGTAATAATTTTTATCAACAAAACTGAACATGGGCTCTACTTGTCTGTGGGTGTCCTTGTGGGGTGTGGTGTCAAGCATGCCTGGTAGTACATATGCACCACCAGTTTTCAATGAAGCTTATTTTTATTGTGTAAAGGAATCCTATTTAAAGAAAATATTTTTACTTCAGGTAAAAAGGCCCTGGTGCACTACCAATATTGCTTATCATTCTACACCCCTGATTTCCAATAGGCTGATAGTATACAGTGCTGAACAAATGTGTGTAAATGGTTTAAAATGGAAAAAAAAATCTAAAAAATATAAAAGCTAATTTTGACCACGTCGTGAAAACAAAATGGAGTGCACACAGTTTACTGTTTGAAATTGATGCACAAGTTTTAAAAAAATATTAAAAAATTCTACACAATTTTTTCTTTGTTGAAAATTTTTTATTCTGTTGAAGAGTTGACATGAAGATTATGGGTACCTTTTCTTCCACTAATTTTCTGATCACATGGATACTAAGATGCAGGCAGTATAAGATATCTGTATTTTATGCAAACACTGAGATCCATATTCTTTAAAAGCTAATTTAACTGTGCTCTTTCCTGAGATATTTATTTGTACACAACAACAATTAATTATTACTATTATTTCTAGGAATGAATGAGGTTGTATTTCTCATTACATAAGTTACATAAGTTGTATTTGGATATTTTTACTTCCTTATCCCTTGGGAATTCAAGACCTTTCTTTGCAATTTTCAAAATCATTATCTTCAAAACATGCAAAATGAGGCAGGAAACCCTCTTTCATTGAGTCTACTTTTTATCAATACACTATCTCAGTTACAGTAGCTGTGACTATTTTAATAATACTAATTCATAATGACAAGACACACAAAGTTTTACTTCAATAACCCATTATACACATATATAATAATATTTTCATTTCAATTCCATGCTTATTGAATTCAATGCTTTTAACTATATATCTCAACATTGTGTTTTCTTATTGTAAGTAGGTCCCTTTTTAGGCCATAAAGGCCCATGGGGAATGGGGGGCAAGGGCCACCATTTTTTCTTGACCATCTAACACTGGAGGTGGAGGTGATGTGGTCACCATCGTGCTCTGGCTGGCCTATTACCCTTGAAGGCTTAAGCCCCGGTACTCATTTGGAAAGCAGGCTGAGTGGACCTGGGAATAGTCTGGAAGAATTTAGAGCAATTACATCACTTGCCCCTACCTGGCATTGAACACAGGACCTTCTAGTCAGGAGCTAGACGCCATTGCCGTCTGAGCTACCACGGCCCCATGTGTGTTCATAGACCCCATATTATTTCTCATTAGTAGACTCTTCAGACTGTCATTTCAAATTTTATATTTGTAGTTGATCTTATTGCTACCTGTTTGTAATGTCCCCATTAAATGTAATCTATTAGGTGTTAGCCCAATTTTGAATAGAAACTAATCTTTTTGCATTTCTTCTGCAGCTTGTATATTGCCTTCTAGTCCACCTAGCTGATTATCATTTGTGAATTTGACTAGTTTGCTAACCATACCAGATTCTAAGTCAATATACTAAATCTATTGACTGTAAATGTATATTAAATAGGCAGAGCAGTGGTCCAAATACAGCATCCTGAGGTACTACACTAATTACATTATCCACAATGTGAGCATTCAGTACCCTTTTTCTATTAATTCTGTTTCCTGCCCATTAACCACTTCAATCAATTAACCAAAAAGCAATTTGAGATTAATTTTTAATCAGGAAAATCACAGACCTTTTACTAAGATCACAAGTTGTTTCATTGATATTTAGATTTTCTAAATCAGTGTTGACTATTTTTAAGATTATTAATGCAATACAGATGCTTTTATAGTTTAGTACCATATTCTTGCTTGTAATTATAGTAAGATTTATTGGTCTAATTACTTTGTTCAGTTTTGTCCTTTTTATGGATGAGCTCTGTTATCAATTTTCCAGTTGGTGGGTTTTACCTCTGTCTCAAGAAAGATTTACTGGCATTTACTGAGTGCTCCTCCATAACAGAATCATTAGACCATTCTAAGGGAAAGAAGCACATTTACTAGATGTTTTGATTTTTGTTTGGTGACTGGACCACTTTATTTAATGTTAATTTTCTAGACCAACAGTATCCTTTCATGTCTGATGTAGTCAACTTTCCTTGAAGATTCTTTAGTTGTCTTAATCACCAACAGTTTAAGACTTGAAGAGAAAAGTTCAACCAAAAATAAATCTTAATTTACTTTCTTAATTCTTTCAAGAAACACAACAAAATCTGATGAACATTTGTGTAGTCAAAGAGTTAGGCTTCCCTGATCAAAACAATTTCTGACAAGCTGGTTGTCCAGGAGTTTTGGAAAAGTTACTTTGCTCGAAACATTAAACAATGCATATTTATGTTTTGGTGCTGCTGTTTTTTCATGGGACAAGGTCCTTTAAACAGGAAATTCATGACTAATATGTAATGTATTTTAAGAGCTGTTTTTGATCTTCAGCAACAAAACTGTTGTTCTTGACAAAGTCTTCCTTCATACTGTTCTGATGATTGTTATTTTAAAGACTAACAATACTGAATACCACATTTACTGAAAGAACATTTTTTTCTTTCTTTGTCACATTATCAGTTAAAGTTTCGTCCAAATATAAGAAAAATAGATATCACTGTTTACAGCATGAGAGAGAATCAATATATGATTTAGGTTTCAATTACTTTGAAACATCAAAAATAATGTGTTCTAGACCATGTCTAGCCCTATCTTTGTACATACACTTCTATCATTAGCTCCAACCTCAACTTTATTTTACAATATGAAACAATTAAATGAATTATATAACTAGAAAACTTTTATTAACCATATTTGGCAAACATATAATAAATATTTACTAATAAGAAAAATAATCAAACATTTTACAATGATAACATTTTAACATTGAAAGAAATAAAAACATTTATAACTACAAAATGCCGATCAACGTGATCCCTGTCACTTCAAACTTATAACAAATTGTAACTTACAAATTACAGCACTTAAACTTTTATAGAAAGAAATTGTGGAAATACAGTAACTATGCTGGAATACAAAAAACAAGTACACTCAATAACAAAGGAGGTGAGATCAGTGTGGCTGTACATATGGGAAAGTTTGATAGAAAATGTTCTATAAATCACAAGAAGTGCTTTGATATTTTCATCTCAGGCAAAGAGGAGAGTTGTTTACTAAATATGTAATAATGTAATAAACTACTTCACTTACATTCACAACTAATAATATGATCATATATAACTAAAAAAAATAGCCTAGATTAGCACAAAATCATGGAGATAAACTTGTGCTAAGTTACCTATTTCTTCCACCAACTAAGACACTACTATGACACGATTGACCAAATACCAGAAAGGACACCGATGGGGGCTGTTGCACAAAGACAGATTATTCCTTTAACCTGATTTTCGTAAACAAAAGTTGAAAAAAGGCTGGATTTTCAGTTTCACAAAGCAGGAATGAATTGTATCCAGTTAAGTAATTATAATACATATATATAACTATCCTCTTATCCAGGATATCAGGAACAATCATGACATATTATGTTCTTGATTACGATTGGTAAAGTTTTGACTGGGCTTCCATTACGATCATCCACAGCAGCAACAGAAAGAGCCTCTAGAAGAAATGTTTGACCCATATTTTGAACATGCCAATTAAAAATTAAAAGTGTCGCACATTGAGGGGACCCCCTGGTAGCTTTGGGTCTCTACGCAGTCACCTAGTTCACCTATGCTGGTATAGACAGTTATTGTTGTTTCCCCTACTTTATCTGGAATAGCCAGTTGTGCTTTTTCCAAATCCTGGTATTACAATACCCACAGGAGAAAATGAGGAAGTATAAGCAGACTGCTCCAACTTACCTACCTTTGTGCTACCCTTCGTTGAACATTTCACAGATAGTATAATGCTTTATCTGAGGTACCACACAAACTGGAAGAGAGACATCACATACTTGCAAGTGTCTGGGAACTCTGACTAACCGTATGCATGGCAGCACTCAGTACCACCTCTTGAGCAATGTCAGTCATAGCTAGCTAGTTGTTTCAACATGCCAACTTTATCACGCACATTATAAGTTACCACCTTTGTTGTATATGTTTTTTTCATAATGTTTGATGTCAAATGTTGCCAAATAATGTCACAATGTCTATAAGAAATACGAAATCCAATATCTCAGACTACCATTCCATTAACCTTGCCCCTTAATCAAATGTTATTCTCAAATATAAAACTTGTATTCTCCTTATCAATCAAATCCTTCTTAGTTGGTCTGAAAAAATACAGT